TAAGCCCAGCTGAGGCGACGAGGGGAGGAGACAAGGCCGCTCCCCCAAGAGCGGCGCGCTGCGGTCCCAGCCTCCTCCGCGGCCACGCATGCCTTCTATCCCCCGGCACAGACGGGGAGCGGTGCGGACCTATCAGCGTCGCTTCATGGGGCGAAGGGAGTGGACGGCGGTGGCAGCACTTCAGGTGGGCGCTGGGGCTGCGGCCGGCGGCCTTCCCGCCCCCAAAAAAAAATCGGCAAACTCCTCATCCCGGAGGAGGCGGGAAGCCGCCCGGGCCGGGTGAGAGGCGGGCTTAACCTCATGTCTCTGGGCTGCTCTGCCTCTGGGTTGTGGTTTCGGGGATCCGCTGGTGAGGGGACGCCGGGGCGTCTACGGATTCCTGTTTTATTAGTATATCTACCCAAACATTATGTCAGGTCTTAACATAAGAAAGGCGATGCGGTGCTTTATGTAAAGGCAGGCATGTGTCTTGTAAGGCTCCGTTTTTGCGGTAAAGATGACAGTACATTTTTATTTCTTGACTGAGGAGGGGCTTGGGTGCTGAGTGTTGAGACAAAGCATGCCTTTTCAAGGCATAAAAATTGTTGCTGATTTTTTTTTTTTTACACGTCTGCTGCATGCCAGTCTTTCTTTCATCGCTGTCACATACTGGCTGTATTTTAGTCTTAAATTGGATTAGCTGTTTATGGACCGAATGCTATTGTAGTTAATGATGGTAATACATGAACTGCTTATGCTTATTTCTTCCTTCTGTTTAGGATGAGAAATGTTTTTTTTTCTTCCGCTGGATATTACTGTGGTCTGTTTCTAGTTACTAAACACTTTGAGGGTATTTCTTTCAACTCAGGTACATTTCCATTCCAAAGTACTCATTAAAGACTAGGTCTGTATTTTAGTGTCTTGTTATCTCTTATCAAACACTGTAATTTATGGTCCCCGAAATAAACAAGTTAATTAAATCCTGAATTTATGGGGGTTTTGTTAGTTTGTTTTTCTTAATTTCCTTGTGGGTTTAATTCCTATCTGGGTAAAATCCTACTGATTTCTTGAGTGCTTTTGTCCTCTTTCCTCTTCAGCTTCCTTCCACTCTCCAGCCCCAGTAATACACTGCAGTTATCTGTCCCAAAAATACTTGCATTATCAGTTCTTCACAGATTGTTTCAGGCTCAGATCTGCTTTTCTGTGAAATAATACATTAAAGGTTTGAGCTTGTGTCTTTAGTGGTAGTTGTACTTTATGGAGTTTTTCATATAAACTAACATCTAATATAAAATATTTTTTTTAGGAAATTATAGAATTATAAGGGACAACTCTGATCTTTTGACTTCTTGCGTAAAGTGCATAATTTATTAACTTTATGCATTCGATTCTTATATGTATTCATTTATCCTACAATTTTTTGCAAAATTGGGGCAAAAATTTTGGAGGGCAATGTTTCTAAATTATAATTTTAGGCACTGGATATTTGTTTTGCTCTTACGCTGTGAGTTGAAAGGCCTCTTGGTGTCAGCTATTTCCCCAAATGCATATTTACAGCTTTGATCTTTATGTTTTCTTGTGTCAGTAATTTACAATGTTTCCTGTGTGTGTTCGTTAACATTATTTTTATAATTTCTTTGGTTGAAATAAAATATATCAGCAAAATTGCATTTTTCAGGTATAGGAGGAGGTTACACGTAATGCTTTATCTCATATAAAAATGTCATGAGAAGTCACAGCTGTAAGCAGTGTTACTCTGTCAGCTGTTGTGGGCACATTTTTTATGCAAACCCAACCTAAATCTTTCCTTCAATATGTTAACTAGACTCACTACCCATAGGTTTGTATGCATTCTTGTGTAATACATATATATACCACTGTTACAGCAATAATGTAAGCTCCACAGCTATGCTTTTTGAGATTTATAGGATACAAAAAACTGATACTTTATTACAATGTTTTGTAAACAGTATGAGTATCATTAATTTTCAGACAAAAAAACCAGTTTCTAGTTTTATATTAGAAATTGTGATTTCAGATATTTATTTTGGTTGAACAGTTTTGCTTTTTCTGGTCTGATTTCATTCTTGCTCAGTAGAATATTTGTACTCATGCCATTGTACCTGGGAATGTGACTTGATTTTTACACAGACAGCAGTCATTTTTGTCTATAAAAGAGCGGAGATAGACTATTTAAAAGGAACAATCATGCTATGGACATGGCTCTTGACTAAGGGTTATCTGAAGCCACCTTTTTGCTTCCTGTTCTTCCTTCTGCCTCAAAGACACCCATTCACATACTGACCTTGTCTTCCAGTTGTCATTGTTAGTTGTTTCACAATACATAATTCTCAAACCAAACTTATTTTGGACTTTTTTTTACGTCTGATACTTTTCCTGTATACTTTATGCACATGTTAATAATACCCACAGCAAAGCAGCGCAAGCCTAGCACAGAACTGACACAGACCTCTGTTGCTATTTGAATGTATAGGTCTCTGTTTATCTATTCCAAGGTCACTAACTGATGGGATGAAATTAAAAAGCGATCCCTGAATGTGACTTACAAATGTTTCATTAGGTGTAAATCTTTCGGGCACAGTTACAAGGAAGAATCTTTTACAATAGATCTCTGAATATTTTGAAATGCAATTACTTAAAACAAAAGGCTGGAAGGTGCCCTTTTCTGACTTTACAACATTGGATATTATGATCGTTTATTTACTATCTTGTTCCATCTTTATTTGTACCCTTGTCTTGTTTTATGGTTGTTTTTTTTCCCCTGCTTTCTTTAACAGAGCTTGTAAACCCTAGCTGACGTTGCTTTGGTTTCAATCACATTTGTTCAGAAATTAATTAAAAAGATGTTGCTTCTTTCTGTATTTTTGACTGTTGTTCAGTTTTCTTGTAGGTTTTGTAGAAAGTTTGAAGATATTTGTGTAGTATTGGTGCTTACTACTGCCTGGTTCAATTTATTTAGGATAGAAGAAATGGTGTTTGGTCTTCCCTGCATTGGCCTGGGCAGATTGGATTCAGAAAGCACAGAGTCTCAACACTGAGGCATAGACGGCATTTACTACTGGAATAAGACAAATGCAATGGGAAAAATATATTCTCCTAGTCCCACGGTAGGTTTGATTCTGTATGCTGTTTTGCTTTTTAAAGGTATGTTGCTATGTCAGCTCTTCACAGATTGGATTCTTGTCTAGTTTTATCATAATTTTAAATAAAATCCATCTGACATGATGGTTATATAGAAGAAACATTTGTGAGGAGATTAATGTTTGTTCCTTAATTGAGTTTATTCAGAAATTACTGAAAAAATTACAGAATTCAGAAATTACTTACAATATATTTTAAAGTCACTCCCCAGAAAGTGGTAATTCCAGTGTTTCAGGAAATACTTTGTGTCTATTCTTTCAGAAGAGGCACAGTCATGGTTAACAGACTCTAAACTTGACCCACTTTTTTTCATCTGTGGGCAGAGTCCATGCATTATTCATGCTTGTTTCTTTTTTTTTTAACATTTTCCAAATAAATGATTCAGTGGGCCTTTTTCTGTAAAGATGCATGCCAGTAGTCATGTCTTGTGGATAATTCTACAATAAACAGGCATGTAAATAATCTGGAAGAAACATTTTATGTTTTCTGGGGCTTATAATGAATAATGTGTTTAAAATCATAAACTATTGTATGTCAGCATTGTTAGAAGTAGTCATTTTTAAAAGAAGTCTAATATACTCATTAAAAACCCATTCAGAATAAAAATTTACCTGATAGAACTATATCACGGAGGGTTATCCAGATTTAGTGTATTGCACAGAAATAGCAACCTCTTGGGAAGAATCTGTTTTTGCCTAGGACGTAGGCTTTGAAACTCTGGTCTGTCTCCATGGCTCCCCAAAAAACACAGAAGAGCATAACAGCTGGGACATTTAGAGTTGATACTGTGCTTCAGTGACTGCTCTTCAGTGCATTTAGCATAATGAAGCTAGGGAGTACATAATTTATATGAGGATTTTTATATCAAAAGTGGGGTTTTGTTAATGATATCACAGAAAAGAGTACTCTCTTTATAATCCAGGTATCCTATAATTGCTTCTTGGAAGTGGGGTGGGGATGTCTTTTAATATCTTGGATTATTTCTTTGATTTCTTTTGAGGTGTCAAGCAGGTATTTAAGGTCAATAATTATTCCCAAGCAATCACCTTGTGCAAGAGGGTTTCATAACAATTACAGAACTTAAATAGTTTTAAAGAACTTTTAAGTGATTATTAATGCTAATAATGATTTTATTTTCAAATTACAACAGTCAACTTTTGAAAAGTAAAATGACTGTGATTGGTTAATGTTTTTCTGCAAGAAGAGCTGT